TATGTCACCTAGAAGGCATTTATGTAGATTTTAGGAATAAGCTCTAAAACGGTTTGGTTATGAAAACAATGTCTGTGCGTGATGTCTGTTTATGGCTCAAGGCCTTGACTGAATTCTTTGCTGTGCTTCACACAGCCCTGATGAGGAACAGTGGCACAGAGTGAAAATGATGAATTAATAGTGTAAGTTTTAGGTCGGAGTACGGCATTTTCTGTGATTGAGTTTTAATTCAAGGAGGAACAAAAGGTGTTACGGCACCTGAGGTTCTCATTCCCACACAATATTGTCCCGGCAGGAAGCAAAATGTTCCTGTGAATTTCTGGTTGATTGTTTGGTTTTGTTTAGCGCTAGCTTGATTTTATCAGTGAGCTTTGGCTTGTGTTCTTTCTCGTAAGCGAGAGAGGGATAGTTTTATGCTTGGACATGTCTGCAACGGGCCCTAATTTGTGTTATTTTAGTAGTATTTTGTTGGTTATGTCTGTTTTCGTTTTTGTTACAGTGCACTGGAGAAAAAACATCGGAGAGGTGTGATCCACCGGTGGTGATATGTTGATATTTTGTGAGTTCATGATTTAACAATCAGCTCTTTAAACAAGGCCTGAAAGATTGAAATTTAAAGCGCTATAAAATATTATTACTGTAAACAGTTGCAAAGTGTGCTTCTCCATGATTGTAATTGGCTTGGGAGAAATTCACTTATAGGGAACACTGAGAAGTTCTGAGTCTAAAAGGATTGCACCGAGTCAATCCGGCCCAAAAAACAACAAGGAATTGTTTTCCTTTAAAATGATGACGTCAACTTGCTGGTGATGGAGGCTCGAATAGGTTGCGCGTGAGACTCCATTATCAGCAACATCTGGTATGAAGGTGTATGGAGGTATGCATGCGAATGGACTGTGATGGACTGACAACTAAAAGTTTTGACTGACTTGATACTGAGACAATGACTGCACCCACTGTAGGATTAGTAAATGCCAATAAACAATTCACCCAGCTGACAAGAAAAGGGTGGATGCTTCGCTTTGTTTTGTTTTGTTTTGTTTTTTCAGGAGCAGGAGGATAAGAGAGACTGGAGGAGGAGACTCTAGCTTCACATAAGTATGAACTGCAGACTTAACACTGTGGTAGCTGATTTTGAGTTACCGATGTTTGCATTAAGAAAACTGTGCTATATTAGCTGTGTTTTGATTAAGGTATCATGTTATATTATTGGAAATGCCAAATGCTACAGTGGAGATAACTATTGATATCACTCATGACTGGAACATGTTATTATTAACCATAGCAGGCCACTGTAAAAAGTCAATTAAATTTTATAGAGGAAAATCGCCAAAATTGAATAATACCTATGAATGACTGGCCACATTCAGAATAGAGATATGCAATAATAAACATTGGTCCACATGATTTAGGTTCTCACTTGAAATAGTAAGTTATTAAATGTAGAATATAATCGACAGGGACATTTGATAGGATGTGGTACTGAAAAAGAACAAGAGCAAAGTAAATAAAGAAAATATTGTGTTTAGTTTGGATAAATTCAAATTAAAATGTACCATTACACTCAGAGGATCAATATGAAATAAAACATATGCAAAATTTGTAGGAAGTACATGACTGATAACTGTTCTGTCCTGAGCGTTTGTTTCCAGAGCACCCACTTGACCACACCAACAGTTTCTCGCCACCGAGGAGGGGTACTTGCAAAAAGAATAAAATAAAAATCTGAGTTTAACAAAACATTTTAAATGTAAATATCAAGCTTACCTTTCTTTTTCCATGAAATGTGCTTGTGGGCACGCCAGCCATTTTGAAAAGGTGGGCAAAACAATTGGCAAGGCCACACCCCCACACATGTGATATAATTTTAAAGGTACTGTTGCCCTCTCTAAGAAACATCAGGAATTAGAGGAGTGGCAAGTAGAGTATGCGAGCTACAAGCAAAAACTAAAATGTGTACTACAGTGTGCAAAAATGAAATACTGGGTCATCAGGGGGTCATGAGGGACATTTATAAAACTAAAAGTCCCACTAACCTTAAAGTGCACTTGAAAAGCTCACACAAGAAGGTTAACCTAGCTTACCTAGAAGACCTCATCAGGGGGAGCACACTCCCCCTCCTTGAAGAGCTCACCCACTCAACCCGCATCCCCAGAAAACAGCTAACCCCAGATAAGGCAGCGTGATGTATCCCGAGATAACAGGACTGGGACATCTAAATAAAGGTGTGAAACAATCGCCTTCAAAAGGTTATCAATTCACTTGAACCAAAATTAGGACCACTCGGTGCGGCAAGAGTTAATAGTTATTAGTCTCAACACCCAAGGATAACCAGAAGAGCATGACTGATATGATGGAACTGGGATTTTGTTACACTTAATTTTTGCAAAACACAAATAAAACTAAATTGAAACTAAGGATTTTCAGAAAATAAAAACTACACTAAACTAGAAAAGAATTGGTAAAAACTAATTACAACTGGTAAAAATTGAAAATCTGGAGTCGAAACTAAATAAAAATAACAACTAATGGAAATGGCGAAAAGTTTAAAACCCTGGTGCAGAGATTGGCAAATCTGACCAGGAAACGTTATAAAATGGATTGTCAGGATAGTCAGCGTTAAAGCCACTTTTGACAGTCCATACTAGGTTGGTGTGACCAAGGTGTGGTTTGGCTTGTTGTATGTACATTTCAAAATGTTACAGCTCTGGATGGACCAGTTACCAGGGCATGGAAGGATGACAGACTTTATTACATGAGGAGAAGGGACATTTTCGGGATCGAAGATCCTCAGGGATGACAAGGCTGGAGCAACGGTACTCGAGAGAAGAATTTCTGATACTTTCTGAGATATGATGTTACTAACCTTCTCTTTCAATTGTCTAGCTCCAATGAATGGACACATGGGAGTGTGTCAAAAAGGGGGAGTTGAGTCCGAACATCAAACAATGGTTTTATGAACATCTTATGACGTTATTTCTGTGTTTAATAATTTAGCTATGGTAAAACTTAAGCTTATAATGTGTTAGACTTAGAAAGGGTTCACTAATTTTTGATTTCTTTTACACACACATAGATTATGATTAGAATAAGTCCTGAACATAATATTTTAAACCAAATTTGAATCATTAGAACAACAATGGATAACAATATTAGATTATCAAGGCTAGGGAGAGAGGTGTTTTGGTTTTCTGTCTCTTGCAGAGAAAGGAACAGACACCAGACGGGGACACGGAGATGTGAGGACCCTTCACAGCAGAGACAGATGTAGGGACTGCCGAGACAGCAACTGGGGTCAAGTGTCATGACGTTTGGGCTCCTGGAGAAGATGGATCCCACAAACACAGCAATAACCATGAAGGGGTTGGCGAAAACCAGGAACACCAGACCAACGAGGTTCGAGAGGCTCTTGGCAAAAAGGGGGACACGCCGGTGACCCCAAAATACACAGATCTTTGTTTGAAATCGTGGCAGAATAATCCCCAGAACTGTGCAATGACTAAAGGGTGGTCTAACCCCGGAGGTCGAAGAAAGAAGCTGAGAATCACCCAACTGGAAGACACTGGTAGCTGCAGCAATAAAAATAAAGGTTAAAAGCTCCTTAGACAGAGGTTCTAGTCTAAGTACATTTGAAAGGTATAAGGGGGTATTAAAATGGGAGTGGAAAACTGGAGCACCAAAATAAAGCTGTGGGAAAATGGGGAGTGATGGGAGTGTCATCTGTAACTGCTGTTATGGTTGTAAATCTAACTTTGCTTGCATCTGAACTGCGTGAACACAGAGGTCATCCCCCATATGGTCCACCCGTTAAAGGGGGACAGAGGGCCTCAGGATCAAGAAAACCTGGACCTTGCAACGCTGAAGTGCTTGTTATTAGTGATCTCTTTAATGAGAGATCAAAAGAGGGTATTGTGATATTATTCTGTTATTATATGTTACCTTATATATGTAATCAAAGTAGTTGAATTAGAATACTGCTGTAGATCATATTATACCCTTTAATATAGAGTGTGTGAGCTGTATGTAGTGTAGTTCTCATTATACTTTTGAGTTAACAGAACATATTCACATATTAGTTCATTAGATAAATGTGCATCACTCTGTATCCTTGATCTGCTGGGAATGTGTTACACTGTTTTCTTGACATGCTTAATTGTTGAATCATGAAGAGAAGGTTGTAAGCAGGAGACTCTGTGTCTAAAGACAGGGGAGATAGACAGACCACATTCCACACCCCCACCTTACAGAAAGCAGAGAAACAACTGCCGAGGTCATAACTTAGGCGCTGTAACAGAGAAAAAATGTGATGTTTTGGCTTTTACGACTAGCTGGGGGCCACTAGAGACTATAAAAAGCTGAGCAACCCGTCACCATTTTGAGACATGTGCCTGACCCTCTGGTAGCATCTCTCCCGTCCGGACGTTGTAATGCTCTGACTGTTGAATTGTATGGAAATAAATGATTGTTGATTGAGCATTGATACACCGAGTATTGTCCTTCCTTCAGCCCAAAGATTCAAAGAACTGCGTGTTTTCAACAACACACATAAAAAAATAAATAAAGAATTTTTTTTAAAAGTTGCCTCAACAAAAGGGCACTTTGGGCACCCATCAGGAAAGGGGCGGGTGCTCAAGCCCCTCTAGCCCCCCCCCTCTGCACGTGCCTGCAGGAGAAGGACTCACTGTGCAATGGCAGTCTCAGACTATTAAACATAACAACGGGATGGTTCTGTTAGCGTTTGTGATTATCTGAGGTAATTTACTCAAATGATGCACAAAGGCTCACTCCTGCATTCTGTCATGCGCACATTTTTCAGAAGGAATTTGGGAGAAATATATTAAATATTTAATCTGCTTTGGCAGTTGAAATTACAAGTTACAGCACTGTACTTTTGTGTGAAGCAGTGAACTGCTTCACAAAAAAGATGACCCTCATTGGACTGTACAGCTTATATACTGTGACAATAACAAAAGATTATTATGGTCATTTTCTCCCAGCACCCATCCTGATGTCTCCCTTCAAATCCACTCCGTTCAGTCCGACCTCGCCTCATATCTGCTCCTCCTGGAATCAGAAAGACAGAGAAAAAAAAAATAACCGCGGCTAAGCCTTGGCTATCTGTTGATTTCTAAGGCCCAGGTCAGGACATCTTGTTCGGACTTCCTGACCTAGAGACAATATTCTTACACAGTGTATGTGTAAGCATGCTGCAAAATATCCCTCTGCACTCAACGTCCACAATATAACGCCAGACAAAGCTTAAAACCCTCAAAACACGAAGCGCCAACTCGGTTATGAGCAGAACTGCATTGTGTATATAAAAAAAATAATGAAAAAAGCTCTAACTAATCATTTAAATAAAAAAAAATCAAAAGTTTTTGACCCTAACAGTTCCATGACATTTTCTTTACAGCATGATATATACAGCATGTACAAAAAATTCTGTCATAGTCCCTGTTCCTGAATCCAGTCATCTTAAATCCCTATTTGACTTCAGACCTTTTGCTCTAATGTTAGTTGTCTTGAGGGTCCTAGAAAATCTTTTCAGGCCAGAAATCATGAAGAAAGCCTGTATATCTTCTTGATCTCATTACATTTGACAGCCAAATATGAATATTTTATAGACGTGTCGATGAGTTTTTATTTCTGTACTTTTTCTGTTTTTGTCATTTTTATTGGTTTGTTTGTTTGTTTTACACTCATTTTTATAATGTGATGATAAAATCTAAAATGAAATTAGATAAACAGGTTAGTTTGCTGCACTGTGATTGATTTAAAGTAAAGAACAGTCACACACTGGTGGCTATGGTTTCTTGGTCAGAGTTAGGTTACATCAAGTGTAGGGGAGATTTGTATGAATTTGAGCTGATAATGGTGAGATCCTGTTTACAGGCAAAGTCACCCTCTACAATGTAGACAACAGAAAATATAATTTATTTAATATTTCTTCTTTTTCTTCTGATTCACAGAGAGTATAATTATAAAAAAGGGTTACAGTAAAGTTTGTTTTCCCATCTACTTATATTATTTTATTATTATGTTATTATAGCACAAGGTTCAGTTAGCTTTGCACACAAACAGAAACATACTCCAAAAACGGCTTTTTACTTTCTTACTTTGAGTACATTTCAGTGCCAATACTTTTACTTAAGTACAGAATGTCTGTACTTCTGCCAAATCTCATTACAGAAGCCAGGCTCCTCTACAGCAATTTCAGGCTTTTCCATCCCCAATGCACAGCAACTGATGGAGAAACTGAGGTCATTGAGGTCAGTGTGCATTAAATGTACCATTGTATTTTGGACATTGACCTCAGTAAAATTCTTTGTCATGTTAAGATGTGATTGGTGCAGAAAATGTTAACTTATTTACCAAGAATCTTACAGGTCAGAGATTGAAAAATAGCTCTTATGAAATTGTTCATCAATTTTTGAAATTGAAATTGAACTTCACTTGAACTACACTTTTAAAGCATATTTTTAAAAGCTGTTTTTCCTTCACAGTTTCACCAAGGCTGTTGCCTAATGGTGGATCTGATAATGATCTGTAAGTATTTATAAATAAGTCACATCTTTAGATATGATCATTATCGTGATTTATATGCTTTTTATGGCAAAATAACGAACGAGAAATAACTGAGCATGTCAAATGAAAAGCTGTCACACTGGAAACTTGTACAGACAAAATAGTTTCATAAGTTATATTTAGTAAATGATTTGTGTGGTGATGGGAAAAGAGATGACCCTTCTGTTTGTAGCCAACATATGGACAAGGCACATTCTTTGAATTGTTCCACGACTGTCTAATTAAGGGCCTTGCAACTCCTTGGTCTGTGATGGTGATTGTACAAGTTTTCTACAGCTGTTATTTCTGCAAATGTATTTATTTGTTAATATTCTGTTCAGTTTTTCCTTTCTAATAATAATGTATTTCACTTTAACGTATCACACTGTATAGACACAGGCCTGAAAGCACACATTAGAGACAGGCATACACCAATGGACACATAAAAAAACTTCCATATTTGGGCGTGTTGAAGGTTCAACATATGGTGCAGGTTTCTGTTATTGGAATGAGTACTTGTGTTCACGATGGCTCCAAAAGTCTGCCGTAAAGAGTCTGAGGTATCCACCTTAGTAGAAGGTGCTCGTTTTAACTATTACCAGATGTGCAGCTGGGCCACATATAAGTTGAGGCAGGAAACCCACGCGTGTACGATATCTCAAACTGACTGGGACGTTACTGCTATAGTGTAAATTTAGTGGATACAAGAAACATGCTTCATAACAGTATGTATCCTATCACGCTAGCACTGATCTGATGTTTATGAGATCCCGAGGTCTGGCTCTCTCTGCCTTACTGTAAAAGTCATCCCAAACCATTGATAGAGATACTGTAAAAGAGGTTCAGAGAGTCAATCAGGTCTTCAAGCCCCATTTTTGCCACTTCATATGTTCTTTTAAATGTAATAATTTTAAAAAGTTGCACATCAATAAAACCTTTGCTTACCACCTGTCCTTGTAAATGTGTGCTTCTCTTCAAATTTACAGTCACTCAGAAATATCAATGCTTAAGATTTTAATGATACAGAAAATAAGAAAAACTGTTCATTTGGGGAAATAACATTTTGCAAGAAAAGCGTTCATTCCATTACACTTTCAGTTTGCTTCTACAAAGAGAAACAATCCAACTCCAATCATGCCACATGTGACTTCATTCCTTATGTCGCATTAGAGCTAGACAAAATAAGTAAAGCTGTAACCTCAGAAACAGATTCTGTAGAGGATATATGAGAGTGACTGCTTCTTTGCCAGGATTACCATGCCTTCATGTCAGCGGAAATCATCAGATGTTCTTGGTACAGACAGATGACAGTAGGTTGGTACAGTATGCATCATCCCAACACTTAAGACCAAAAATCAGCATTGCTGAAAGGAATATTTTGGTTTATATAATAACAATAATATTAGTCAATATTCACTGTTAATTATACTATCACATCACTCTGTAAATATGTATATATATTGTAGCAATCAGAATTATAGTCTGACGACCAAGAAAATGCCCAACAGATTTACTTTCACAAGTGGATGATTATGGCTTTTGCCAGACTCATCCACTTGATTGTCATAGTTTGTCTAGTCTTTATTATTTATTCTTTTTTTTTTTAATATTTCTTTTACTTGTTATCGTCCCTTATGTAGCCAGTTTATCAAAGAAAAATATTCTCCAAACATGACATACCATTGCACACCCAGCACACTCTATACTTTCAGGGATTTCTGATTAATTTACCTCCAAAATTCATCCGCAGGCATTGCTCATAATACGAGTTGCTTGGCTGTCCAGGGCACCAGTTTGTGTATCTGAACTGTGTTCCATCAATCCAATACCAATAACCATTCTGAAAAACAGAACAGAATAGACAATAATGCATTTAAAAACAAGCTAAAGTGCAAACAACTACTATATAGAGACAGTGATACCAAAGAACAATGTTTGATAAGTGGATTTTTAACTGTCTCATAATGTCTATAAATATTTGTACAATGATTAGTCAGATACCTCTTGTGCATCTGAGCCTCCAAGCCATGTTTCTTGACTTGCATGTGTGGAATTAAATATGAGGTGCTGAACAAACATTACTCTTCAAAGGTGTGTACAGATGCAAGGTTTGCTTTCATGAAGTCACAGTTTCTCTACAGTGGAGATCAACAGGCAGCAGAATTTCCAAAGTAAACAAAATAAAAAGGATTTCACCAAGCTAAATTTACAAAGCATTGTGTAAGAAAGTATTAAAGTCCATGCATAAAAACGAATGGTAAATCCACATTTTTACCTGAGCCCAAGACATGGCATGAAAAACATAGATAAAACAGCGTTTGGAGTACTCTGTCCAACCATGAGGGCATTGTTTTTTTGGCTTCATATCATGAGGTTCACCTGAAAAAAAAAAGTACTTTATAAACTGGTGTCGAACAAACTATCCTATGCCTAGAAATGAATTTAGTTTTTATATTTATTCTTTAATTTCAGACCATTAAACACCATCAGGGCTGCAGTTTTGTTGTTTATAACTCATCATATTCCCCCATGTCTTGTTCATTTAACAGCTTTCTTTCCTGGCTCCAAATAGGATAACCTTTAGAGCAGCTCACTTCTAGTCTGACAAAAGTGTTTAAAGCCCACAAGTTTAATATGATTCTACTTTACAGTGCTTTTGCTCTCTCGGACACTGCTTTGTTTCTTTCAGTGTGTATTATGTGCTTAACCTTTCCAAATTTGTCTATATTTCTGCTGCCAGTACTATACTGTGACTGGTCAAATGTATGAGTTAGCTGATAATCAGTTTATCGTCTCTCACTGTGGGGAACATCTATGTTTTGCTCTGACACCTGCACTACAACACAAGTTCAGCAAACCCTGCGTCATTATTTATATAGCACTTTAAAAACACACCTGGTAAACCAAAGTGCTGTTGTAACAGGGCGGCCCTTAGCAGCTGGAAAGACAGTGAGATGAACCAAGACAAGTGTGGTGGAACAAAAGTACTCATTTGCTATACAGCTCTCCTTACAACAATTAACTCATCAAGCTTGGTCACAGCACAAAATCCACACTCTAATGACAACTGGCAGCCTTAAATATGTTCAGCTGTCACAGACTTAACCATTATTCCACTCTCAGGTAAATTCTTAAATCCCAACCTTCCACCACAGTATACAATATATCAAGAATAATAAGACTAAATAAATACATAAATACATTTCACATTTTCATATTAATAAATAGTTCACACTTTAATTTTACACCAAACCCAGTATTATAAAAACCCAGAAACCCAAGCACAACAAGATTCACTACCCACACTCTCTTTACCAATGGTCTCTCCCGGAACCTTTAAATGGTGTCTGGACCCCAGGTGAAACATTTGCCCAAACACCTTGAAGAGGACACAGGCAAGAAAGGTGAGTAATCATTATCTTACAAACACTTATTTGCACCACTTTTATTCCTAGATTTCACACACACACATTTGCATTAGTTTTCCTTACTGGTCAGTAGTGATGGGCAGATGAAGCTTTCCGAAGCACTGAAGCTTGTATTGAAAAACGGTTCATTACTCGAAGCTTTTCAACACAGTCCTCTCCGGTGACATCTGGTGGTGAAAATTTTGAAGAGCAGCTTGAATCTGCAAAATAAAACGGACTGCTCAATTATCACTGCTCACTCAAGAGTGGAGTTCTCTCTGATATTGGGCCACCGTTCCGTTGCTTTGAACATGTAATTGGTTTTGTTTTCTCGATTGGGGGGCTGAAAAAAATGTAATGCGTATCTGCGTAATACATTTTGATCAATAAACTTTCCCTATTTAAACATGCACTATGGTGTGGCCTTTCTTTGCTCATAACTCCTTGATGTTGGTAAATACAATAAGTGAGCAATATATATAATATACATATGAGAATGCACAGCACATTATGGAGTATGCCCCTGCTGTGAAGTCCTGCCTCCATCTACTTGTCGTTTAATCACTGGACAGCTGGACAGGTTCATACAAAATATTAGATGAGGCCAATTGTCCTATACATATTTTTGACCTAGGGGTGGGATTGATTGTGAACTGGAAAGGGAAACTGCTTAGGAAGCTGAGTACGGCTGCATCGTCACTGATTTGTAGAATCATTTTGATTCGACACAGGATCCGATTCAATTTGATTGGAATCTGGAAAGTTTTGCCTCAGTCAGAAATATTACAATTCTGATCATTTAACAGTATATATCCATAATTTCGTATCTATTAAAAGAAAGCTGACACATGTGAGACTTAATTAGAGATGTAAACAGAGAGTTATGAAACCTGCAGCTGCAGAAGCCAGCGGGGAAAAAAAGAGGCAAACACAGCGCGGACCCGACGACGCACAAAAATCTGACTCTGACGCGTCGGGTCCGCGCTCTGTGTTCACGTTTGTATGCAGAATCCGTAAACCTGCTCCCAGTTACTGTTTTAGCTGCATGGTGTTTGACGACATGTTGTGAGGTTTAACCTGAGATGCTGGCGTTTCAGGCATAATAACGTTAATTTACAAATCGACACGGGATTTTAATGAATCAATATCACTTTATTCAATTTAGCATGGATTGTAATCAGAAAGGCGATAATCAAAACCCACCCCTAATCAAGAACTTGCAAAGTAAAAACATGCTCTATGTCAGGTAGCCCTTTTGTTATTTACATTTAAAAAGAGGATTAGTGTTACTGTGCGCTGGCTGAGTCTGTTTCTTTTCTTAGAAATAGTTTCTCCTGCCCTGGAGAAAATCCACTTGCATGGAACAGAAGAGGCTGTGGAGTGCAGGAACCACACTGCAAGCTGGTAGATATGCAGGTATTCCTGGGTCCTGCAGACTATCACCTAAAAACAATAAACAAAATGATTTTCTAAACTGTAGCAATGTAATGTACGTATAGTGTCAAATACATTGTTGTAGTCTTCATTAGCTTTAATTCACATGGAAGTGTTCCTAAAGTCATATGCTGTAATGATATTTACATTATGAAAACATGATTTTGGACATTTCAAGTTTTTCACTTCGGCAGATAAAATGAATTGAGCAAAATCAACTCAAAATATTCCCACACGCCAGAATGTCCTCTCTTCCTCGCTGGCTCCATATCTGTCAGTGGAATGGTCACCTCTTTGCTCTCTGTCACCATCAACACACTCCACGAATCCCGTGGATGATTCACTTCCTTATATCCGTTTGAATCAGGTACCGAAGCAGTTACGTGCGTAATGAAGCTTCGGACGTCACTGGTCACGTGACTTTTGCCAAACGAAGCAAGCCTCGACACAGTGCTTCTGAACCAGTGTGTTGTTTTTTTCGACACACGCTCCGGAGCGTCAGCTTCAAGCGGGCCATCACTACTGGTCAGCCTTAATCACAATCTCAATCACCATTCTTTTCTCCTCACAGACAACCACCACATTCCTTGACGAGGAGCAGCTGTGCAGGATCTGAAACAAGGCCACCAACTGATTTTAAAATTCCCAATAAATAGTCAATAAATATTTAAACTTGTGTGCA